CCACTGATTCTGCCAGCTGATGCAGTCCAGCTGCATCCCAGGTCCCTAGGCACCACTTTTCAGAATCAAAAAGTTCCTGGATTGTAAAAATGGCTGCTGAAGCACACTTGAGACCTGGGATGCAGCCTGGCTGCACTCAGCCAGTGGAATAGGTGGCAACTTTGGCATGATAATATTCAACTGCATCCTGAAAGAGGATTCAAACCAGGAAAGGTAAGTTGAGTTTTTTTTAGCTTTGCGAAAAACTCCTCAGTCTACACATTTGCTAAATTCATTTGAAATTCATGCTATCTTCCACTGCAAACCAAAAAATGCAAGAAGACATCACATAGGGTGATTATCTGTCCTAATTTTACAGAGGTGAGTCTCCTGTTTGACAGTTGGAAGTGGACAATCCTCTGTTTTGAAGGATCTTCCATCTACAATATCCATTTAAAAGATATCTCTGGCTGCATCCACACTGCAAAAAATAATCCAGTTTGACACCACTTTGGGCCTAAGCAGACCAGGGCGTCCAGGATGCCCTGGTCCGGAGCACCACGGGGCCATGGCAGCCGCACCGTGGCGCTCCTGCGACGACCCTAAAAGGAGAACCAAATTGGCGCTCCTTTTACAACTCAGGAAAAGTGTGCCCTAAACACGTCAGGCGCACTTTCCCTGACTCTTCCGCTGCAGCGCGTGAGGACGCTGCGGCGGGAGGTTGCCCCGGAAGCGCCGGGGCAATTTGTAGTTTAGTGAGATATATAGCCTTCTCTGTCAGAGAACTCTGGTGCCACAACAAATTATAAATCCCAGGAGTCTATTGAGCTATGGCCATTAAAGTGGTGGCAAACTGCATTCATTCTGCAGTGTGACAGCTACCAACAAAAACAAGGTCTTCCCAGTTAATCCCTGGTCAGCAGGCTGGGCCAGCACAAAGGAATGACCAGAGTGTTCTCTACCAATATGAGATGTAACAACTGAACACAGACTGAATTTTTTTTTAATTTTTGCTCATAAATCCAGCAGAACAGATTAAACATTGTTCAGAAATGAAGAAAAGTTTCAAATGTTTTACAACAAACATCATTTCATGTCATAGCAGCCTTCTCTGCTGTGGCGCCTGGGTTATGGAAAACCACCCTCATGCTATCACTCTGGTGCCAAACTAAAACATAGCTTTTTAAATGAAAGATTTGGAAGCCTAATTGAATTTATCCAATTTGCACATGTGCTGTGGCTTGCATTATTTTAAATTGTTTCAACTGGTTTTAAATTGCATTGGTTTAAATGATAAATTAGTCAATATATTTTTTAGACTTTTAAAATTATTGCTATGGTTTCAAATTATTCTAAATTGATTTTACTGCACACCACCCTAAGAGTCTGAGCTATAGGAGAAGACATAAATATTTTAATTAATAAAAGCCATCTTGTTTAATTGCTAGTAATGTTCCAGCTATGGATTACACTTGTAAACCCAAGGCTGACATTAACATCCAACTTCCTCAGGTAGATACCAGAACCTCCACCTTTGATACCTCTCTGTGGACTTTCTTTCCCCATTTTTCTTATGCTCACTAAGGACGTTATCATACTGGCGGCAAGAAAGTGGGATGGAATCATTCCGGAACCATTCCGGAA